CATCTATCTCACAGGGTTATTGTGAGGATTAAATGGGGGTAATATTTATAAAGCACTTAGCACAATGCCTGGAACATAGCTACATGCTTAATAAATATTTAGTCCTTTCCCTTGTTGTCCCCCCTCCCTCCTTTTTGTGCCATGGATCCCTTTGACAGTTTAAACTGTGTAAGGTAAGTATGGGGGTGCTATAATAAGTGGAAGTCTATGGACTCTTTTTCAGGATGTTTTAAAATGCATACAATAAAATACATAGGATTACAAAGGAAATTGATCATATTAAAATATAATTGTCAAAATATTTTTTTAAAAAAGATTCATGGGACCTCTGAAATTTTTCCACAGATTTCTTAGGGGTCCATGGGCCTCAGGTTGAGAACCCCTTGTGGAGTGGGTTCATTATCTGCATTGGTAGAAGGAGTACCCAGACTGATGATCTCATATTTCTCCAAAGTACCTTATTATTAAAGGTAATGGTAATGAAGTGTCAGCTGTCACTGCTGCCTAAGCTAGTGTATATCCATCCTCTTCCATTAAGGATATGAAATCAGATGAGCCTTGAAGGATCTCCTTGCCCAAATATGATCTAATTGTGCCAAATCTAATAACTTATTCCCCTGAGTCAGGGTGAATTCTACTCCTATCCCTCCCTAAGCACCTCCAAGGATTCTTGTCATGCTTTTTAATAAGCTGTGAAGTTGGATGTGGAAGTTGGTCATTATCATCTTGGATCTGCGTTCATCGGCCACACGGCATCTGAAGGCTCAGAAGTCTCTGGGATCCCATGTATCAAATATCCCTTATAAGAACTTCTCTCTTGTTCCTCTCATGGGATTTCCTTGTTTTCTGTGTGCTGTGCACCTCCCTCAATTATGAAGAGTTCCCAAGAGTCGAGGGCTTATTAAATGTCAACTAAATGAAAAAAAGCCAAACATAGGAAACCCCCCTAGGACACAGACAAATTACTCTACAGTTGCTCAGACACTAAGCATTTGTTTTGCAAGCTCCCAGCAGTAACCTGTAAGGGCTGGAGGTTGCTTCAGTTCTCACCATAGTCAGTGTTTTCAGGTTCCCAGCAGTTGGAGGGCCAGAAGTATGGAGCCTGCAAAACAACAGAGGGTCAGGAAACAGGAGCCCCCTGGTATCATTCCCATTTCCCCCAGGGCCCTGAACTGTGTTCTATCTTCCCCTTTCCAAAGTCGTTCCATTCTGATCAGATGAGGGGGAAATTGACACAAAAGGTGCTTGGGGGAAAGAAAGACAGCTGACTTACTTGGAATCGATAAAAAGTGCCATCATCCTTCAGGGTAAGGACATGGTCCGATATGGGGAAGATGTAACCCTGGGCAGCTACAAGACTTCCCAAGTGTATTGCTTCACCTGTAGGTCAGGGGACAAGAGAGAAATAATGAGAAAGGTATTAGACTCAGCGCCTGTCATTAAAATCTAAACTGTGTAAGGTAAGCATGGAGGGTGCTGTAATAACTCGATACCTACGTTTATAGCTTCAAAAGGAATAGAGGTTATATGAAGAGGAAAAGTATTAGGGAGAGGGGTCTTGATGGCAAAGAAAAGCTTCAAATTTGCTGTTGCCTTTCTGGTCTCTAAGGTTTGGTTTCCCAGGAATACAGATCTGCTGCTCCCCTCAGTACCCTTACCACCCTCTTGCATCCTAATTGGTATCTCCAAATTCCTTTCCAGACTCCCCTTTTTAGCACTCCAAACTTCTCCTATAGTTATTATGAAGCTGGGGATCAACATTTACATAATAAGGTCTCAGACTAATTCAAGAAGAGGGCACAAAAGCTTCTGGCTGGCTCCCATCAGGAAGGGTGAGGGTACCAGCTTTGACAGTGACACCAAGGTTCATTTGTGTCTTACGCTGCACACCCTCCTATGGCTCTCCCAAAACAGCAGTAGAAATGAAATTGAAACCACCTCTACCCTATGGATATAAAATAGAAATTCCTACTTCAGAGCTTGGAGGAAGGAAAGTATAGAGAGACTATTGTGATAGTTCAAAGTTATAACTAATGGGATACTTTCAGACATTCAGTTTTGCTACTTTAAAATAGAAAGTACCCAGTCAAAAGACTGCTGGATTGTGAACCAGAAGACCCGGGTTTCAGTATCTTCTGTAGAGCTTCCTTAGGCCAATCACTTCTGTAGAAAAGGCTGAATTATGGGGACCATCTCAGAATGTGTGCACCCAGAGCTCTCCTGGAACTTCTGGGGACTCCAAAAGCATGGTATGACCAATCACTGTAATTTTTACATTGTATGATGTTATAGTTAGCCTAAGTGACTCCAGATTGAAATTCTATAATAAGTGGACCTAATGCTCATAAAGCAGCTAAGCAAAGACAAAGTTATACTTTTCCACTGTTCTGACCTATGTTAATCCTGTGACAAGCACTTAATGCTCACAGCTTCTGATTTGCTGAAACTCCTGGCCTGTGAGCTATTCCTCTTCTGCTGCCTCAGATAGCCAACTCAAAATGTCTCCCAATTTCTGGTTGAGGTAAAGAAACTCCCCCTATCCAAGTCTCACCCAAGTTTGGTATAATAAGTGGTCCTGAGAATTTTTCTACTATATCTGTGTCTGATTAGTGATATCCTCCTCCCATATCTAGCACCAATTCCTTATTCTCCACCACACCCATTTTTTAGGGTATAAAACTTTCCCACCTGAACCCCAACTTTATGCATGTACTTTCCCCCTACATGGCTTCCTTTCCCTCCCACTAAGTAAATTTATTATATCCATGGCAACAAACCTCTGTCTGACTATATTGCCACATAATTTGTGTGTCTTTTAACCTGCTTGCTGCACCATATAATTATAAAGCTCTCATTTGTAGCAGCTTCCTGAGGCTCAATTTCTCATCCCCAAACCCATTTTTGCTTTTACCTGAGTCCTGAAGCCAAATAAAGTGGCTGGTAACTCAGTATTAGGACATGTTAGAAATGGTGGATTCCCTGGCTACTACTGGTCTTGTGGTGACTCAGCACTGAAGAACAAGGGTGCTTTGAAATAAGGAAGCAATCCCCTCATTAGCTACTGGACAAGAGTTGCTGATGACTCAATGGAACTTTTAAAAGGACAGACAGTTTCTGCTTCAGTTGCTTTGATCTGATTTTTTTACGTAGCATGTGGCGCTCTCTGCCTCTAGACTCCCTATGAGGAGGTTGTGGATATGTGCTATGCTCTTTCTCCTTATACCACTGGCACTCCTAGAGTGGAAACAAAGACTTAGCACACCTAGGGCCCTGGTTGCCTTCCCTCCTTTTGTTTCCTTTCCTGAATAGGTGATTGAACATTATTCTTGAGGTGGACATGTACAGTTTTGGAGATAACCTCATGAGTTTGAGAGGTACAGAGATACCGGGTTGCATTGGGTCAACTAGCAGAAAAAAGTGGAATCTCTAGCAACCACACTAGTACTCTTGGAGGAGGTCACCTGTAAGAGGATTGGGCCAAGCCTGGTATATTTCATCATATGTGAGCTGGTTGTTGTTTGGACAGTGCAGAGCTCAGGTGAAATGCAAAATACCTAATCAGTAGTCTTGCAAACTACTCTGTATCCCTAATGAGGTTTAAGTATCTGCCAGCAAGAGAATATAATGGTAATTTTAAGTTATTACTGAATCCTGTTCTAAGTTGTTCTGCCAGTGTGTGTTGTGAGTCTTTTGTGTGTAGGAAATAAATACCTGTTCCATAACTAATTGAGCATCTTTTTTTTTTTTTTTAAACTCTCCTCTTTTGAGGAGGCTCTAGACAGGAGCTAAAACCTAGTCTTTAAATAACCTGCCTCTAAGGTAACAGGGTGGGGGCTTAATGAGCCAGAGATTGTAAGAAACAAGAGCCCTTTCATTAGAGACTAGACTTCCTAGGATTGAACCTAGCCTTAGCCATATGGCTGAGTCCAAAGTAGATAGGCCCCTTATTGGAAAGAGAATGAGTACAATGCCTCAGCCTTCTGGGTCTGCCATTGATTCCTCATAATTAGACTTAACTTCATTTAGTTTCAGTTTTCTTGTGTGCAAAGAGGGGATAATAGTAATTGCCCTACCTACCTCCCAGAGCTGTCATGATGATCCAGAGTAACAATTGTTAAGCAATTCATAAGCAATTTTTGTTATGTATGAAGTCAGATACAAATGGGCATTGAAAGGTAAAATGAAGAAAACTAATAAAAAATTAATTCTCAATAAGTCTACATTTTATATTAATGTAGCATAACAGTCTCTTAACATTCAAAAATTAAATGCTAAGCCTAGAAATGAAAAACATGTTTAAGGAACCCTTAATTTCTTGACATGTCAGTTTGAAAAAGCTACTTGTTTCAACTTAGGATGACAGAATCATAGCTCAGTGATTAAAGGATGAGCTAGAAGGCATTGTGGAGATTAAGACATTACCTAATGCAACCCCTTGATTTTACAGGTGAGGAAACTGAAGAGTTGAAGGGACTGTGTTAAATTCACATAGTGAGTCAGTGAGCACCAAAACTCTAACCCAGATCTTTTGAGCTCTCAGTTGGAAGTTTTCTCCCCTATATAATAAGGTATTTATACATATAGACATACACATTATACATATATACACATATTTGTGATATATATTATATATTTATTTATTTAAATTTCTGTATCATATTTATATCATTTATTAATTTAATTTATTGTTAATATTTATATTCTATTACATTTGTTATATATTTATACATTTATATTTATTTATGTACATTTATGTGTATGTACACACACATAAATATGTATATATGTATACACACACACACACACATATATATATATACATATAGCATATATAGCATATATATGTATAATCAACCTTTTTCTCCAGTAAGAACCACATATGGAGTATGTGAATTTGATCACAAATTCTGAACTGGTAGAGTCTGTGTCAATGAAGTTTTTCTGAACCCTCTTTACTACTTAATATTGATATTTGTTTTTTTAAAACTTCAGCCACCCAAGTCACTGGTTTAATCTCTTTTGAAAAAGCTGTTACCAAATATTAACGACAGAATGCTTTTACCACCCACTGTCTCCTTAATTTCCTTCATAATGAGGAGGAGCCTTCTTTTATTGTGGCCAAAACTATCAAGAAGTTTGCTTATTTATCACGCTATGGGTTGAGAATTTAAAATTGTCCTTTGAATGGATTAAAAAAGAAAGCTCATAAAACTAAAGTGTTTTTTTTTTAAGTAGTCAACTCTAAGAACCCATATGCAATCCAATTCTGTGTCTTCTTAGGATGTAATATTGTTCTCAGCTTAGACCACTGCCTTGCTGAGTGGAAGAAATTACTGTGTTCAGAACACTGGCAGAATACTGGCAGGGAGAATCAGGAGAGGCAACAGGGTATAGTAGGTTGAGATCTGCATCCAATGGAGAGAAGGAAGGAAGGAAGTATTTATTAAGTGCCAGGCACTGTGCGAAACACTTTATAAATATTATTTCATTTAATTCTTATAATAATTCTGGGATGTAGGGGTTAGTATTATCTACATTTCACAGTGGAAGAAGCTGAGGCAGGCAGTGGTTAAATGACTCAGCCACAGACACACCATAAATGTCAAGGCCTGATTTGAACTCAGGTTTTCCTGACTTGTGGTCAGGAATCTATCCAATGTATCACCCAGCTATCACTGCTTAGGGACCCTTACAGCTGTAGACTTCCTTCTCCCCTCGTACAAAGGTAAACCTTATGAGAGCTTCAGTGGCACAATCTTAGCATCCCAAGAGGCAGAAATGGGACAACTGGATGGAATTCTCTAGTGTGCTATAAAAGAGCTATAAAGAAGGCTTATTTTACTTATAATTATGATTCATTTATTAGCCATTCTGACTTCTTGAAGCCTCAACCACCTCGAATACAGCTGGGAAACCCCAAAGTAAGAAAATAAACAAATACATAAGTATGACATACTGCGTGGGGGCAAAGAGCAAAATGTTAATAATAAAGGTCAGAGAGAAAACAATAATATATACTTTACATTTTAGTGAATGGGCTTTGTAACAAGTAGGGTTCTCATCAGAGGAGAGGCCTGACTTATATTGGCAATATAAGTTATTTTGTACACAATTTTAAAACGTGGTGTTGTCTATTTATCGGTAGTACTGAAGCATCAGGTTTTCTAGTCCATAGCACATTGGAAGCATTAGATTAGAATAAGGAACACTTTTAGAGGCAGTCATAATGATAACTGTACAAAGGTATACCATAAAATTGGACATCTAGGGAGGAGGTGTAAAAATCTGAAATTAAAAAAAACAGCACTCAGGGACCATTTAATTCAGGGGCAAACAGCCCTTCACACTCTAAGGATATTATCGTACTATGGTACAGTAGT